ACCGGCGCGCGAGGCCGTGGAGGAGCCCGGCGCACGCGAGTCAAAGCTTCAGCACGCAGACCACGCCGAGCAGCCGGGCGACTCCGGAAGTGCTCTGTACTGAAAAGAGTCCGAAGGAAACGCGGTGGGACGGGGACAAAGGTTCCGGAATGGAAAAAAAAAAAAGGTGACTCCCGGGGCGGAGCTTCCTGAACCGGGCTCCACCCACCCCCACATGCGTACCCGAGGCTTCGTCACCTGCAAAGAAATCTCACTCCCAAGAGATGGATCCCAGTTTGCCAGGGCAGGCAGAAGTCGTTTTGCTCGCGACCTCACCCAGGTCTGCCATACAATGGATGTTCAATAAATAGTTTCTGAAGTGCCACCACAGACTCCCAGATTGCGTGTATAAAATGCAGCCAGAGTGCACAGAGACACAGCACATGACAAACATTCAAACAATTCTCCTGTTCTCAGAGGATGGGAGACATCTGTCACACCGTAATGGATAACTGTGAACTGTGCCTCTGACGATTCACAAATTACAGCTGCTAAAGCACACATAGAAACAGATGTGTGCAATCATTCTTTCAATAAATATTTATTGGGTTCCTACTATGTGTGCTAGGCCAAAAAAAGAAAAAGAAAGAGAGGAGAGAGAGAGAGAAAAGACAGGGTCCCTGCCCTCATGGAGAATACAATTAGTGCAAGTAGACAGACATTAATTAGAAAATGTTTTACAAATGAATCACAATGTGCACACCGCACGATCACATGAGAACACATCCAAAACAGACATAACATCCAGCTTATACACACAGACCTATAACCTAGGCCAGTGATGGTGAACCAATGATACGCGAACTCATTTTTTTGGTTGATTTTTCTTTGTTAAATGGCATTTAAATATATAAAATAAATATCAAAAATATAAATCTTTGTTTTACTATGGTTGCAAATATCAAAAAATTTCTATATGTGACACGGCACCAGAGTTAAGTTAGGGTTTTTCAAAATGCTAACACGCCGAGCTCAAAAGGTTTTCCATCACTGACCTAGGCCCTCCCAGATACGGAGGGAAATCTTCCCTCAGATCAGCTTATCAGACAGATGCAAGGCTAAGGGGACCTCAAGCACGGGTCAGGGGATCTGGGTGCTCCTGGATCCTGAAACACAAAGAATGTTTGCCATCCCATTGGGCTCAGGAACTGACCTGTGTGCCAGACTGCAGCCCCTTGCACAACATCCAGCTGAAAAAGTACCCGATTCATTTTTAATAATTACTTTCAAATGGTATAACCTGAACACATGGTAGTAAAAATTCAAAAAGTACAAACAGTACAGTGAAAAGTAAGTTTCCTTCTCTCCTCAAACCCCATTTGCTTTCAATAAATTCTGGATGGATTGATAACTGGTTGATAGTAATGGGGGAAAAGGGAAAACACATCAGATTTATGAAGCCCTAGCTCCAAGTAAGTAATAAATAAATACGTAAAAGAAAATGCCAGTTATTTTAGAACACATTTTTAAGGCTATGGGGTTAATCCTACCCAAGATAAAGTGAGACAAATAGACAAAGGAAATGGGATGGGTCATTCAAATAAAGTTGATTTGAGATTTCACATTCCTTCCTTTTTTTCTCCTCCTCTCTTGCCCCCTCACCACTCTAGGAATCAAAATTCCATCCCCAAAGATTAAATTGCAAGTTTCAGGGTCCCAGCTATGGGGAGGCCTTCCCAGCCCTGGCTGCAGTGTGCACAGGGAAAAGAACCAGAAGAAGAAGGCTCTTCTAACATTCCTTTGGGACACCCCCTACAATGCTAAGTTCTCAGTACCTAGGACCCAAGCCCTCCTTAAAGGACAAAATGAAACTGTGTCCCTGTGCCCATCAGGGGGCAGCAGCCACCCACAGTGTGAAGGAGTTCTGTGCGCTAGTGGAGGATAGCAATGCAGCTGATGCTTTTTTACGTTTCTTACATTTCAGACCTGGCTCCCATCTCAGTCTCCCAGCCTCGGCCTCAGCCCCAGCCCCTCCTACCCATTCACATCAGGGACACCACATGGTTCTTTGATCAGGAATATTTGCTCATCCATCTACCCAGGACACATGCAGCGTTCTTTATTAAATAGCAGGAGTCGTGATACCCTGCACCACACCAGCAACGCCGCTTCCAGGGGAAATAAACCGCTGGCCTCTCTGTCATCCATCACTGTGCACGAGCCACGAAAGGGAGTACAGAGGCCTGGGCTGTTCGCAGCCAGCCTCCCCCAAAGCCTCCTCCCTTTGGCTGCACTCCCACATCACTGCGTGCTTCTTGTTCTTAGCACTTCTCACAACTGTTATTAGTTACTTGTTCTGTTGCAATTATTTATAAGAGCAACTTTTTTTTAAAATCTTCATCCGGGGATATTTTTTTCATTGATTTTTTTAGAGAGTGGGAGAGAGGGAGACGGGAGGGAGAGAGTGAGAGAGAGAGAGAGAGAGAGAGAGATCAACATGAAAGAGACACATTGATTGCTTGCCTCGCACGTGCGTGTGACTGGACAAGGATCGAACCTGCAACGTGCCTTTGACCAGGAATGGAACCCACAGTCCTTCATTCCATGGGCCAACACTCTAACCACTGAGAAAACTGGCAAGAGTAACTTTTTTTTAAAATGTTAACAGACACCCAATGGTCATTGGTGTTTGTTTTTATTGAGTTCATAGAAGAGAGAGGGAGAGAGAGATGGAAACATCAATGATGAGAGAAAACCATTGATAGGCTGCCTCCTGCACATCCCACACTGGGAATTAAGCCCGCAACCCAGCCATGTGCCCTTGACCGGAATAAAACCTGGAATCCTTCAGACCACAGGCTGACACTCTATCCACTGAGCCAAGCCAGAGTCTAAGAGTAACTTTTTAATGTCTGCCTTCACCAAAAGACCTTCAACTTTTTAAGTTCAGGGCTAGCATCACCTTGTTCACCTCTCTGGCCCCAGCACCTAGCACATTGTAAGCATTCAATAAAATGTTTTAAAGAAATTGAATGAATGAAGGTAAGTTTGTCTCAGTCTCCTATACTACTAAGAATTAGAACGGAAGGATGCATGCATTAGGATTACCTGGGCTCCTCTGGAAAACCTGCTTTGGGTATGGGCTGAGTTATGAGGCAAAAGGGAAGGGTTGTCTCACCAAAATCTCAGCCCCTTTGTAATGTCAAAGGTAATTCTTTGGAAAAAGTATTGGAGCTGTAGTCCCTTTTCCCGCCCCACCCCCATCTCATCAGCCCCATTCAGAGCTTCCAGACAGAAAAGCTGGGGGGGGGGGCGGGGGGGACAGGGAAGGGGGAGAAAGAGAAAGGGAGAAGGAGAGAGAGACGCTGCTGACTGGGGTATATGAGGCATGGACTGCTTTGTCGGGAGATGTGTGCATGGACTGAAGAACCCTTGATGGGAAGAGTGAATGAGCAGCTGGCATGGCAAGAGGATTAGGGTGAGAAAGAGATGGCAGAGAGAAGTTGAAAGTGGGCAGAGGCAAACAGCAAGCGCTCCTTCCATGTCACAAAGCAGCTCTGATGCTGGGGCCCTACAGCCACCAGGACACCAGTGAGAAATGCCTGTAATTAGGAGGCTGACAGTTCTCTGGGCCTCAGCCCAGAGTGACAATGCAGCAAGAATTTCTGAGCCCAGCTGAGCCAGGTAATGGAGGAGACACAGTCAGAACCAATCCAGCCCCATCCCTCAAACATGCCTGCCCCACCCTCCTCTCATTTTCTTCCCTAATATGACCCCTCACTCCTCCCACAAACATCACGGACTCCCTCTTGCTTCTGAGGTCCCAGGCCATGGGCAAGGAGAGCAGTGCTCTAATTCTCCCCCTAGGGCACTGGACCTGATCTCCTGCTTCCCTCTTGGCTCCCTCCCTTCCCTCCGCAAATCCCCACCAGCTGATGGACAGAGTTGGAAGGAAAAACCACTCCTAGTTCTGTTTTTGCACTTCAAGACTAGGATGTGGGCCCCTGTAATGTGCAGGACATCTGCCAAAACACTGCCAGGTTTTCGTTTTCAAACCTAATTTATGACTCTGTTTTAGTGCCACTGAACTTCCTGCATCTTAGTCGAATGATAAATGCACGCCACAGAGCTCAGAGCCAAGTGCTCTGGGCAAGGGACGGATTACAGGGTGCTGGTGGTTTGGATGTGTCCCCAGGTCTCTGCACTGTGGGTTCTGCTTTAGTGGGTAGGGTACGGTGGGGGTTTGGGGAAGACAGGCTTTCTCCAGGAAGGATCTGCACCTCCAGAGATAAGCGCTCTACAGGGGAGGATGGTTGGGAGTCCAACCTGGAAGGGGCCTGCTGGTAGGTGGAGCCTGTGTGAATTCCTCTGGGAATATGGCAGGAAGATGGCTGGGCTCCCAGCTCAAGGTGACCAAGCTCTTGATATGTGTATCAACATTTCCACAAAGAATTTTACCAAGAATTAGTCCCGAGCCCCCTGAACACCAGGACCTAGGAATGCAGACAGTCCCACCAAAGACTGTAGTTTCTGCCTCACCTCTAAGGGCCACGTTCCATCTCTCGGGGTGGGGGTGGGGGGGGTGGAGAACCACTTCCCAGAGAGTCAGATGGTCTCCAAGGGGCTGCTCCCAGGACCCTCACCCATTCCAGCCACAGGACAAAACTCCTTGCAGTTGGGAGTAAAGGTCCCTGGGGTCTGAGATGGACCCACACCACCCAAAAGCTGCTTCTCTTCCAGTTCTGGCAGAACCACTAATGCTGTTGTCTCATCTAAGCTTTTCCAAGAAGGTCAGATCTTTCTCCTCTGAAAATATTTTATTGATAAATTAACTCTGATAGCGCGCACCCCACCACACAACAGCTGTGGAGTCTCCTAGGTGGGCCATGGACCCCTTCTGTAGGGAAGGGTCATGTGGAGAACTGGGAGTGTCACTCACGCGGGGTGGGATTCCTGGGCATGGCAGAGGTGGGTATGGGGGCCGAGGACCGTCCCGAGGTCTTCTGAGGATAGCCCCTCTCACTCAATACCAGAGTGGGCCGTGGTGGTCAGGGGTGGAGCACCTTGGAGCTTTATTGCTGGTGAATGCCAAGGAAAGCGGGGACCCCTGCCAGCCTAGAATGGCAGCTGAGGGCATCAGCGCCCAGGGCTCCAGAGGAGGTGGCACTAATTCCCAATCAACAGAGCCTGGCTGCTGACCCCCCCACCCAGGAGCCCCTGGATGGGGGAGGAAGCTGGGCGAGGTATCTGAGCCAGGCCGGATTGGGGGAGGGTTACAGTGTGCCGGTCTTGGGCAGAGCTGCCTCCAGGAGGGGGCGTGTGGCCGGCACCGAGGGGGCTTCCTCTTCACAGGTCTATGGTGTCGCTGCCCATGCTCAGCTCGTCGATCTGTCGGCAGGCGTCCAGGAATTGCTCCTGCAGCAAGGCCTCTTCGGCCTGCAGCTCACAAGCAGGCTCTGGGGAGTCGCGGGAGGACGGGGACAGGGCCTGGTAGGATCCTGAGGCTGGGAGGTTGGGGCTGCTTCCCGAGGGCCGCGGGGGGCTGAGGACGCAGACCAGCGGGCAGCGCGGGGGCCGGTCGGGGCTGGCGCAGAGCAGCA